AATTATATTATCAGCTCCAGATAAAAACTGGATATGAAACGTGCTAAAGTGTTATAATGGTCATTGCAAAAATAGAGATTTGTATTCCTAACAACATTCTTTCTACCTAAATGCACTGATTCCATGCCCTTCATACACGTCGTTAAGTATACAACGTTTGTTCAACCCCAGCGTTTACTGGTAACCTGGAAATACACGCTGCTAGGAGGGGGTTGCTGCAAACTATTGGCTCTGAGAGAATTCGTGTTTTATGAGTTTCTAAATTTTTTAACAGGATACATTGACTCATCCAATAAATGCAGATTTCCCTTTACAGTAATGTCTAGTGGGGAACACAATGCAGGGAAAGAGAATTCTTCCAGATCTTGTAGTTTAGGGCAGGTAAGCCACGTATACACATTCCAGTGGTGCGAGGTACAAAGCCACGGGGGACAACGACCGAGAGGAGCTCAAAGGACAGAGAAATCAGTTTTGCCTGAGAGACCAGGACAGGCTTCGGGCATTAATGCTACGCCCTGAGGCGTGGGTAAGAAATGAGGTTTGAAGGAAGAGTGTTGCCAATGGAGAGAGCTCAGCAAAGTGAAGGCACCGAGACGGGAAAGCACAAATTAATTAATTATGGAGAATGAGGAGTTCTGATAGTAATTAGTTTCTACAGTTAGCTGTAGGGTTAAAGGAGTTAGTAGGTTTACTTACATCATTTTAGACAAGAACTTCTTCAGTCTCTACCAAATTTAAAAATGTGCTGATATTTTAAGTGTATCATACTATATGTGTGCATGCTTTTTATTGACAAATTTCTATTTACAAAGTTTTCTTTATGACACATTATTTTAAACTTTTTTTATGATGTTAATTTATTTATTTGACAAATGTTTATTGGTTTCCTATTACAGAGTGTCCTTGTTTATATATGGAATTTCAAATATGAATCTTCCAGATCAGTGGTGTAGTTCTTAATGATCTATGTTAGTTATCAGTGCTTTATATGATTGGTGCTGAGCTAGAAGAGGGGGTATGTATGTGGAGTGCCAACATATTCAAACTATATTTCACTTATGAATTTCTAATTATAAATAAAATTAATATACAAATATCTATCATCTATCTTTCTATCCATCTATTTCTATCTGTCTATCTCTTGCATCTTGAGTATGGAGATAGCATGGTCTATTGAAACAAAAAGTACCTTACAGAGCTATGGGTTTGAGCTTTGTCTTCAAACCCATAACTTTTTCACATAATCTTTTCAAACAAATCACAGCCCTTTTGAACCTCTGCTTTGAAATGGAGAAAATATTTCTTTGCCAGCTGCTGTGGAAATTGGAGATGAAATTCTTTGCATGTAACAGGTGCTCAATAAATGGTATCCATTTCTAATTACCTGCTAACACCTGCTTCAATTTTAGCACATATTCATTTGGTATTGCAATATTTTTGAATATTTTTCTTCCCCACAAGACTGTTAAGTCTTCCAGGGCAGAGACCCTCTTCTTCCTCTCTTTGAATTCTCAGGACCCGGCACACAGTGAGCACTGAGTACATGTCTAAAGAAAAGAGAGAGGTCCCTCTCCCTGGTTCCCTAGCAGCTGGCATGTTTGTAAGACTGTACTGATGGAACATGCTCAACTACACCAATATGTCTATATGGTGAGGTACTGCTAATGAGAAAAAGGCATGTTTTTCACTTGTAAACTGGAATGTAGGCAACCAAGTTACCTTCCTCGGGTGTCAGTGTGTGTCTGGTTACAGTGTCCTTTACATTTGGCCTATGAATAACATACATTACTTAAAAGGGGCTTCTTAAATTTTGGTAGATATAAAATCTTGACTCTGAACGTAGGTGGAGGCATCAAGCACATCTATTTTTAAAGATGTTTTTCCCTAATAATTGGAAGGGAAGAGATAAAATAATACAGTCATTTTATTACAATAAAGAACAAATGAATTGTGTAATGTAAAGATCCTTTTCTTAAAAGTCATAAGGAAGAAAAAATTATAAGTCCATTTTAGTCCGTATTTACTGGGTTCTAAAGGATGTTGCAATTTTTACAAAAAGTGATCATCAGGTGTTTTTAAAAAATGGAAGAAAAATGTGCCTGAGGCTTGGCCAGCGTGGTCCCTGTCCCGTGACTGGCAGGCAGGCAGGTTCAGGAAGCCGTGGACCAGGGCGGATGTCAGAGGCATTCATGTTCCTGACCTGATTTTTCACGTTGGTTTTTCCATCATTGTATTGACAACTAGCACAGTGGTCAGGACTCAGTATGCCCTTCAGTATTTGTAAAACTCAGTCATCCCTTGATTTGTCTTATGATTTTTGTCTACACCTGTCAAGGCAATGTAGTTTCGCTCAGTCTGCATGGCCAACCACTTTTCCATGGTGTAATGTTTTTACACGTTGGAAAAGGTAGATGAGAAAGAAGAAGATAAAGTTATAATGAAAATTATCAACTTTTAAAGCAATGCTTAATATATGTTGCTTTGACACATGGCTAAAATGTAGTTATTTAAACTATAGCTTCTATATAACAAACAGCAAGCTTTGCAAAAGAACACAGAATTACAATATCCTGTATTTTTATTGTAATAGAGTCCCTGTTCTCAAGCATTTCTTGCTTTATTTCTTCTAATGTAAAGACATTTCCTTTGGTAACTTAGTTCTAAAATCTAATGAAGAAAATATTACTACTTATTTCAGATTCTTGGTTTATTAACTGATTCTAATATACTTGTCTGAATATAATCTAAATCTGCTCATTCGCTCATGATTTGGAGGTATTTCCCTTGTCTATCTCTATTAACATAGCTGCTTTTGGTAAGGCTTTAGTGGTGTAAGTAAGTTTCCTTCTTTTAGTTTCCGATTAGAGACAAATCAGTACAATATATTGGAGTTTCCATAAGTTCCATATTTTCTCCATTTCTCCCTTTGTTCCAATATACCTTAGAGGTTCTTTTTTTCTCACCTGCCAGAGGATTATTTTCTGTTCTGTAAAAACTGAGCAGCCACGAGCCTCTGCTGGCAGGGCAATAGGCTATTATTGTCCTTCTACCCAAACTGAGGACTTGAAAACTTGTTTCTAATCTGCCAGAATCATAAAAGATCTTCACTTACCTTGATCATCCTCTGTTACGATTTCTCAAATATAATAGCTCTTTCTGAAAATATTTCTTATTATAACATATGTAACTTTTTCATATTTAGAAACTCTTTCCTCTCCGTCTCAAATGTCCCAGGCTCGTTAGAGGCCACTTCTCTACCACAGCACTGCCCTCAGAACCTGGTGGAGAGAACCCGTCTCTGGCCTCACACGCTAGGGCTCTGCTATGGCCCTCCTCCAGCCGGTCCCCTCCCCAGGAGATAAGAAGCCATAGCCTGAGGGACTGTGTCCACCCAAACACCATACCCCCTTCCAACCCCGTTCCAGGCTCCGGGGCCCGAGAAATCCCTGTTCGAACAGCTTCAGGCCTGCCTCCTGGGTCGACGGGGAGCTCTTTCTCGGCCATTCTCAGGAGGGTGTTCTGCTCCACCGGTGTACACTGAGCTGAGGAATGGCCAGGGGAGTGTGTGTGTGCGGGTGGATCTCGGACATGGGGGCTGCGGTGTTCACAAGAGGCCCCTCAAGTGAATAAAGGAGCAGGGGCTGAGAAGAACACCACCGTGTTCCCACATGGGACTCCAGGAATCTAGGAATTCTAAGTTCAAAGCCACCTACCAAAATATTAAGAGTCAAATTGTCAGAATAAGAGGACAAGGACATTTTATTTAGCAATTTGTTAGCTTGACTCATATATTTTAAATAATTAGATATATAGTATGTAGACCTCTATTGTAGTCTCATCCTGGGCTTTGAAAACATTTAGGGGTGGAATTGTTCAGCCAGGTATCTTCCTTATTGCTCAGGTCAGATAAGGGGCCTTGGAACTTAGAACCTTTGCTGTCCTGTCCACTTTCAACTCAGATGGTGATGCTAAGAAATTAAGTTAAATGTGGTCACATAGGAATCCCCTTACTCTCTTTTATTTTATCCCTTCCCTGATCTTAGATGAATGCAAATTGAAATGGGAGGTGACCAAATAGGTAGTGGTGCTGCATGGGGGAGGGAGGGAGAGTGAAAGCAGAGGTTAGCAGGCTTTGGCCACCCTCAGTAAATGCCCACCATTGGACTAGCTTCTGTATAACATTTGTAGTCTTTGTACTTGGGTGTGTAATATGCCAGGAGTCTACAATTTAGGAGAATATGCTACAACTTGAGACTAGACGAGATCCTATACTTACCTGTGGCTCAGGATTCATTGACACACTTACAACAAATTCTTTGTAACACTTACCTTCTATGATTCGTGTTTCCATTGATTCATGACACCCCCACCCCACCCCCATTGTTGCACAAAAGTCTGAAGTAAAAATGACAGTGAATTGGGCTTCTCATTCCACATGACAAAAAAACTTTTAAAGGGTCACTTGTTTCCTACATGTTCCCATGCATGATATCAATGCCTTCCTCACACGTAATATCACACTGTTTCTCCACCTAATAGATACACTACAGAGAAAACTTAACATTTTTAAAATTCAGTTGATTAAATTCAAATTGAATAGAACCATTGCAAATAGATGCATTTCATATACTTAGAGCCAATGCCTACATTTACAAATCTAAGTGCCTATAGTTAAATACCTACAATTACTTTTTTTTCCTTTGCTTTGAAATCTAACTTTTTAAATGTTTGAAGGGAATTGGCAGTAAGTGATTCTTCTATCTTTATCAGGTCAAGAGCCAGAAGGACATTTTTAATATATTTAAAACATAAGTAAGATTAGTTACCATCAAAGAGGGAATTAGCACATTAAGATGTTACTTGTAAAAAAATCAGGAAAGGAAAAGGTGATCAGTGGGTTGCAGTTCTTACTTGTGGTTTATTTCAATTATATGTTAGTATCTTCCTCCCCTTCAGAAACTCCTACACTAACACAGAGCTGGTTCCTCTCCTTGTTCTAGGTATCATTATTATGGGATTGGCATCAAAGAAAGCAGCGCATATTACCACTCTGTGTATTCTGGAAAGGGCCTGACAAGGTAGAGTTCTACTCTCTTCAAGACAAGTTCTCTGCATTTCTTGAAATATGCATGATATCTATCAAATAGAATGACGTACTAATTTAGCTTATTAAAATGCTTTAAGCATCGGACCTTAATTTCAACTTTGTATGGATGTTTACTGTGATGTGGTCTAGATTACTATACAGTTTATATAACTTGCAATCATTCATGACAAATTAATGGTGAAACGTGTTCCAGAGAGATGAAAAAATCAGAGAAGCAGAATTGCTTTTAAATTAGTATTTACTCATAAGGCGGAATCTATTTTCAGGCTGGATTCAGTAAAAACAAAGGCAGAAATTATAAATATGTTTTTCTTTTGCTAAGAGACAACCTGCTTTAAATATCTATGGGCTTAACCAGTACCTTACACAGATGAAACGCTTGTTATAATCATCTCTAATCACATATGCCCCGAATCCCAGCTTACCTTAGTAAGATAAAGCTACTCACCTTTTTGTGTCTCTGAAAGGAAAGGTACAAGTGAATGTAAAGAACATGTTACTCTGATCTGCTATTAACTAACAGGAGGAGGTCATTCAGAACTGAAGTGACATTCAGTGAAACCCGTGATACATACAATAATTATTTTTTAAAATTCTAGTGCTCTGAAAAATTAAATCTACATCTGAGATTGCCTTGATGACTTACCAAGATTGCTCTTAGCTCTCAAAGAATGGACTATTTTTAAAAGTAAAGTATCCTGTGGAAAAAAATTAGTATGAGGAACTCAGATATTACAAAGAACATAATGGTGGCTTACTAACCACTACCCATTTTAAAGTACAAGCACAGCCCAGAACACACGCAAATATTTAACATCAAGTATTTTTTGCTTGCCTCAAGTCTTACTAAACTTTCCTAAGTATTCTTAATTTGAATTTTCCTTAATAGACTTGTGTGTTTTTTTTTACTAAGTTGAGAAATATGCTTGGATCTCTTTGAACATCAAATATATTTCTCCAGATATATTTCACTAATCATAGTATGAAATTACTATTTTGTAGATTTTTCTGCATTTTCTCGATAGCTACAACTGTATCTGTGTATTTTTAACTAATGGAAAATGTATTAATTTTTCAGGTTTTCTGGAGGCCGGCTGAAGAACGAGGTAAGGATTGCTTTCATTTCTTCTATTTTACACCTGCTCTGATATGTATTACAAACTGAACAATAAGTGTTCATCACTCTTGTTGCAAATACAGAAATAAATGTTATTTATTAGGAGCCCCTTGAATGACTGGGGACTTCAGAAAAAGCTAAGTTATATTTGGGGCGGCTAATGGTACTTCACATAGAGCTGCAGAACAACTTCTAGTTAGCCTAGGAGAGCTGATTTTTCAATTATCCATACCTAATATCAGATATTTAAGTTGTTGCAAAAAAAAAGACCATTACGGATCCAAGAAATTTTCATTTAAATATAAACAGAAAGCTTAAAGCTGAGGAAATGAAAATAATTGCTATTTGGAATATACCCATTTAGACAAAACCTTTAATAGTTATCAAGAAGCCCAAATGTTATGTTATTGTTTGTTTTAACCACTGTGTGTGTGTATTAGTCACTTTGCTGACCTCTTCTGCAATGGGGGAGGGGGGTTCATGGTGGAGGTGGAAGCTAGGGAGAAAGGGTACATTACGCCCCCAGACACACTTTCTCCCTAGTCTCCCTCCCCCTCCCAGCCCCCAACCAAATCACAGATCAGCAATCGGACTATCTAAATGAGTTCGACTGCCATTAGGGGCTGCATGGCTAATTAGGCACGGGATAAGGCCTTCGTTATCCTCGTTAACTGATCATTAAAAAGAGGTGCCACAGAACTAAGGGCACATGACAATGTGTTGGGTGGTAAATCTGGACCCGAGGTAAATTGTAACTCCATTAGTTTGGTGAAATGATGCAAGCATATTATCTTAAGAAAAAATATAAAGCCCCAACCTTCTGAAATGACCAATTTCTTCCCACCAGTGTTTTTAATGCAGTTAATGGCTAATTATATAATAAAATTCTCTAGATAGCTCTTTTTATCAATGAAATAATAGCTCTTTATTAGATAAACAATTGTGAAAGTGCAAACATATTGACTTAGAAATATACTTCAGTTGACTGAAGTTTATGTCAACAGGGAATTTAAGTAACTTCTCTCAGGTGTCTTTTCTACCACTTTGGTGGAGCTGGTGGTACCAGCAAACCTTCCGCTGATGTTACATGTGCAAAGCAAGCCTTGCCTCAGAGAATAGAAGAAAAATGTTTCTCAAATCTACAGTTTCATTCTTGGAAGACTGCACCACAAATTCAGGTGTAGATTGTGTCAACAAAGTTAAAATAAATGATTTCAGTTAGTCTGCATACCCTATCTTTCTAAAGATACCTGAAGCAATAATAGAGTGTAATCATGATGATGATTATAGAAATTAACACAATTAAGGACTTTCTAAAGGCCCAGAACTACACTAGATACTTTTTAAAAAATGACATTAAGATATTTGTTTAACAAAGTTGAAATAAAATAATATTTTGTACTTAGGGTGACCAACTATCCTAGTTTGCTCAGGACACAAGACTTTCCATTTAAGCCTACATATTTCTGGTCACGTGAACATTTATAACGGTGAGGTAGGGAAAATAGTTGTAAACATTACTAGTTTACAGCTAAGGAATAGAGGCTAAGAGATGTCTTTACTTTTAAAAAAATTCTCAGTAAAGCTCTATTTTTAAAAACCCATGGTCAAGATGTTTATTAATAGATATATGGAGTTACAGGTACCAAGGAACAAAAGTGAGTGGAGAGATTTGACCCTTTACAGTGTAACGGGAAAATATATTATCTTAATATATTAGTAATTATAAAGGGTGTCATAGTGGTTAATCTAGTTGACGTGGTTAAGGACATTTCCCACAGGATGTGACATTAAGGAAAGAACAGAGAATAAGTGGGCATTTGGAGGAGAAGTGCAGCAGGGGAAGAGAGCAGAAGGGTGGTCCAGACGGATGGAACAGCGTAGGGTAGGGTTTCTCGGCCTTGGTATTATTTACTTTCGGGGCCAGAAGATTCTAATTTATGGGGATGTCCTGTGCTTTGTAGGATGTTCAGCAGCACCACAGTGTTAGGACAAGCAAAAGGACTTCGATTTTTAGTTTGGTAGTGATGGTAATGGGTAAAAGTGTCTAGGGAAAAAATAAATGAGAAGAGAAGAGTTTACAAGAAAAGAGCTATGAAAAGTTGGATAGAAGAAAAGGGTCAATAAAATAACCTAAGAAAATTCAGAGAGGTAAGAAAGGAGAAGAATATTGTGGCAGAGAAGACCTGGGAGAAAAAAAAAATGCTTCCAACAGAAGGGGATGGTTACAACCATGAAATGGCGCAAAAGGTCATCAAGATACAGACTGAAAATATCAACGAAATTAGTGAAGTGGACACAGTTAATGGCTTCAGGGAGAGAGTTTTCAGGGGAGAGCTGGGCTTGATGGGTTTGTAAAATGAGCGGGAAGTGGTACCCAACGGGTAACGGTCAAGCTGAGGGTGGTCATTGGAGAAGGACTTGAAATTGAGTTTGAAGACCGATGAGACCATGGTTCTAATGTTGGTAAAACGCATTTGGTAAGAGTCGAGGCTGTAGGTGTGAGGGAAAGGGAGGCGGGAGGGGAGAGCGGGGTTGCTGCGGGCAGGGGGGCGCTTCTCCCCTGAACCGGGAAGGAGGAAGGGCAAGGTCAGGTGCAAGTAGGTCTGTAGGTTTCGTGGCAGAAAATTGCAGTAGTTTGGTGGTTGTAGACTTCCCGCTGAGGAACTAGCGGTCAGTTGGGCCACCCTCAGTGAATAAAAACATAGGAAAAAAGTTTGAAATTTTAAAGGCAGTCGCAGCTCTTCTCAGTCAGGATGCCCAGAGGGCGTGCGGCCTGAGTCCCTGAGGCACCCGCTGCGCCTAAGGGTGAGCTCTTTCGCGCTTACAGAATGGTACTAGCCAAGCTCAGCCTTGGGAGAAGATGGCCACTCAGACTCTTTCCCCTAGGACTTAATTTTCTCACAGATCCCCTGTTGAGAGAGACTTGCTTTTCTTGAGGAAAGCAAGAAAGGTAGGACGTTCTAAAATTAAATTGCAGGAACCAGAAGAAATGCAAAATATTTAGGAACAATCGTAATAAAAGAAGCATACTACCTGTGTAAAAAAGGCAGGCATAAAAGAATATTTTAAATGAAAAGAAATGTGACATGTTTGGATAGGAATGCTAGTTATTATAACGGTGACAATTCTTCCTATATTTATTTTTTATTTATTTTTAATTTTTTTTTGTTAATCCTTACCTGAGGATATTCTTTTCCATTGCTTTTCAGGAAGAATGGAATTGAGAGAAGGAGGGAGAGAGAGAGACATCCATGTGAGAGAGACACATCCACTGGTTGCCCCCCACAAGCTCCCAGACTAGGGGCAGGGAGTGAAAGTGCAAGTGAGGTACATGCCCTTGACTGGGAATTGAAACCACGACCCTTTGGTGCACAGGCCGACGCTCTAACCACTGAGCGAACCAGCCAGGGCCTTCCTATATTAATTTAAACATTTAATACTCTAATAAAAATGTGAGTGGGTAATTACTTTTTTGGAAATAATGAAAATGGATATAAACTTGACCTAGAAAAATATATAGAAGTAATAGTTAAGAGAAATGTAAAGAATAGTCAAAAGGAGATTTGTCTGGTAGATATTAGTATATTATGAGACTATAATACTGACTCAACTCTAGGTAGAACAAATCTACAGCAGAGATTAGATACCTGCTAAAAGACCCTAGCACTTATGAGAGTTTAGTGTATGACCAAGGAGACATTCCAGATGATGAAGGAAGAAAATATTTTTCATTGAATTGTCTTAAGTAGCTTTCTGGAGGAAGATGGAGTGCCAAATAAGTAAATAAAATTCTTCAGGGTCTAATGTTATAAAAATGAACAATTTGGGGAAAATTTTCTATACTTCATGCCTTTATGAATTACATATAAGTTATTCTATATAGAAAGAATGGTAAATAGGAGACATGTATCTACTTCATTTCTGGATGAGGAATGACTTTCTAAGCATGAAACCAGTTTAAGAAATTTCAAAGGAAAAGAAAACAAATTGAAAACTTCTTTGTATCAAAAGCACTGTATACAAAATTTGAAGTCAAAGAAAAGAGGGGAAGATATTTTCTGCAAATATGACAATGGGATAATATCTGTACTACATGAAAAATATCTGTCAATTTATAAGAAAAATATGAAGACCACACTAAATAGTAAAAGATGTGAATAGACAATACACATAAGAAAGAAAAGGCCAATAGACGCATGAAAAATGGGTTACCAAATAAGTAAAAAATAAAATAACATTTAAAATTTTAAAATTATCAAATATTAAGAAGTTATGAAGTTGGTGAAGCTATGGTGAGATAAGATCTTCCATATCCTGCTGGTGAAGACAGAGCAAAGTTTCTGGAAAATAGTTGCAAGATCTGCATCAGGTGTTTAAAGTGTTCAGACACTTTCTCCCACTAATTTTACTTTCGTGAATCTCACATAAAGAAATAATAAAAAATGCGGATAAAATATCACGCACAAAATTTTTATTGACTACAGTGAAAAACTGTATACAACCTAAATGTCTAATAATAAGGAAATAGTGACATAATTCATAGGACTTTTATGGGGCTAAATATTGAATCATTTATTAACAGGCTCTTTTAATGACACATAAATAATTAGGAAGAAAACAGGACGCAAGAGCAAATCGATGTATATATGGCTTCAAATATGTAAAATAAAACTGAATATTTAGATATATAAGTGACAGAGGGTTACTATCTATAAATGTGCTGTGGAGTAGGATAGCCCCTATCCACATGTGGCTATTAATTACATAAAGTATTCAGTTTCTTTGGCACATTAGCTACATTTCAAGTGCTTAATAGCCATATGTGGCTAGTGACTATTGTATTGGACAGTGCAGATATAGAAGAACATTCCCACCATCACAGAAAGTTCTGTAGAACAGTACTGCTTTGGAATATGCAGAGCATTCAACTGAAAAATAGACAACTCAATATAAATATAGCGAAGTATATGAAGTATATAGTGAAGG